CATTTTACGATATGTAAGATCTTACAAAGTTTACTTCTCAAGCATCCTATTCCAGGAACCTACTGGAAGACACAGTTCACTAAAACAAGGGAGTAACTCAACAAAGAGGAAAACAGGGCCCCAATGTTAGAGTCAGGTAAAGAGACTCCTGCGATTATGAGGTGTGGTTCCATGATACTAGCTATTCATAGAGAGCTAACAGGCAGAAGACAGCGATATGGATAGGAATGTTCTTGAAAGAAGTACGAGAAACTGTTAACAGTGTTTACCTTAGGAGTAAAAATGGGAGGGAGGAAGAGAGGAATTTCTACTTTTTACTTTAAATCTCTATGTAATGCTTTGAGTCTTCACTACAGCATGTATTGTTGTTGTTAGGTGCCATGGAATTGATTCCGACTCATAGTGACCCCATGTGACAGAGTAGAACTGTCCCATAGGGTTTCCCAGGGTGTAATCTCTACAGGAGCAGATGGCCAGGTCTTTTCTCCCACGGAACAGCTTGTGGGTTCAAACCGCTGACCTTTTGGTTAGCAGCCGAGCGCTTAACCATTGCTCCACCAGGGCTGCTTAAGCATGTATTACTTTTCTAAAAAAATTTTCTTTTTTCTTTTAATTTTTAAAAAGAAATCAAATTGTTCCCTCCAAAGAGATGCTTAACAATTTGGTAATGACAACAAAATTTTCTATTTGTTCAGAACCTGCAAAGATTATTTTGCTAGGAAATCTTTAAATCCTCTAGCTAACCTTCTCCAGTAATTTTAGGCTTATACTTTCTCACTATAGGGAATGCGCCTTTGACTTGGGAGGTGTCATGGATTGAATTGTGTCCCTCAAAAATATGTGTCAACTTGGCTAGGCCATGATTCCCAGTATTGTGTGATTGTCCACCATTTTGTCATCTTGATGTGATTTTCCTATGTGTTGTAAATCCACCTCTATGATGTTAATAAGCCCTGGTGGTGCAGTGGTTAAGAGCTACGGGTGCTAACCAAAAGGTTGGCAACTCGAATCCACCAGTCACTACTTGGAAACCCTACGGGACAGTTCTACTCTGTCCTATAGGGTCGCTATGAGCCGGAATCGATTCACGGCAACAGGTTTCCTTTTTTTGGGTGATGTTAATGAGGCGGGATTAGCAGCAGTTATGTTAATGAGGCAGGACTCAATCTACAAGACTAGGTTGTGTCTTAAGTCAGTCTTTTTTGAGATATAAAAGAGAGAAATGAGCAGAGAGACATGGGGACTTCATACCACCATGAAAGAAGCACCAGGAGTGTAGCACGTCCTTTGGATCCAGGGTCCCTGTGCTGAGAAGCTCCTCGACCAGGGAAAGACTGATGACAAGGACCCTCCCCCAGAGCCGACAGAGAAAGAAAGCCTTCCCCTGGAGCTGGCACCCCGAATTCAGACTTCTAGCCTCCTACACTATGAGAGAATAAATTTCTGTTAAAGCCATCCCCTTGTGGTATTTCTCTTGTAGCAGCACTAGATGACTAAGACAAGAGGGAACATCTTTTGAGCAAGGACCTGAACTCTCCCCTAGAGGACAAGCCCTTCCTCCCTGTTTCAGGATTAGGCTTTCCACAAATGTAGGGCAAAGGAAGATTTCTTTTAAATTCGTGGATTGTAGCTGTCCTCTTTTTGCAAGGGCCCTTCCATAAGAGCTTTCTCTGTTCCAAGACCTCAATTACCAGTAATTAATCTCAGATGGAAGGCTCAGTCCTCTAGGCTTCCTCTGTCTTTGACCTAAGAGAACACACTGTGAATTGTTTGTTTGTTTGCTTGCTCGCCAGAGATCTGATCTTAACCCAGAGGAGCCGATAGGATCATAAACCAGCGTTAATCTTTCCTCCTCAGTATTCTTTCTCTGCAAAATGGGGGGTGTGATATCTTAGCTCTGGACGAATGCGAGATTTATTATATGTCACGAATAGGGGGAAGAAGAGGCTGTCATTTAATAATGGCTGTATATCATAGTAATAAAATTTAAATAACTCTGTAGTGTGTTCTAATCTCCATGATTTCTTTGCTGTTTCTCAATGTATTTGGATAAATCACTACAGAGCAACCAAGCCAAATGTCCAAACCACCCACTTTCCTATTCCCAGCACATGAATTAGAGGGACGCCAGCTGAAATCTGGGCCAAGCACTTAGATGACTTGTATGTCTGATTTTTGTTCCATGATATAAAATTCAAAATAAATCAAAAAGGGAAGATTTTCCAGATACAAGTTAATTCACAATAAACATTTTCAGTCTCTTTAGTCCTTGTACACATGCAAAGCTGATAAACCTACTCTGAACACAAGATACAAGGATTTAGAGATTAATTCCTACAGGCACAAACAGATACTTGTATATGCAATCTTACTGAAGTTCTGTGTTCCATTTTAGGCTCTGAGTAAAATCTGAAGAAATTTCAGGGTTGAGAGGAAGTAATAGAAATTGTGAAAGACTTGGAAAATAGGACTATTGAAGAAAGGTTGTAGGAGACAGAATTTGAGCTTAGAAAATAATGAGTGTGCTGGTGGGAATGTAAAATAGTGTAACCACTACGGAAAATGATATGGCACTTCCTCAAATAGCTAGAAATAGAAATACCATATGATCCAGCAATCCCACTCCTAGGAATATATCCTAGAGAAATAAGAGCTGTCACACGAATAGGCATATGCACACCCATGTTCATTGTAGCATTATTCACAACAGCAAAAAGGTGGAACCACAACCTAAGTGCCCACCAGGAGAGGAGCGGATAAACAAACCGGGGTACCTACACATGATGGAATACTAAGCAACATTAAAGAATAATGATGAATCCGTGAAACACCTCACAACATAGATGAACCTGGAGGATGTTATGCTGAGTGAAATAAGTCCATCACAAAAGGACAAATATTGTATGAGACCACTGTTGTTAAAAGTCAAGAAAAGGTTGGTGAAGGGAGAGATAATGCACAACATGGGGGAAGTCAGCAAACCATAATCAAGGTAAAGGAAAACACTGAAGGGTATGCAAGGGTAAATAAAAGGCAACAATGATAAATACTAATACATATACAATCCTGTAACAGCACTAATAACAAACGATAATGTACAACTGGATACACAGATATGTAAGATGAACAGGGGTGGGAGGATGTATAGAATTACACCTTTGTACATATATATGTGTACCTGCTACAAATATACCCATGTATGCAACAGTGAACACAGGCACACAGTCATGAAAACTTCTTAGCCATAACCATACACCTCCTGGGACTGAGATACTGGTTTTGATATCAGTTGGCATATCATAATCCATACAGACAATGTTCTACATCCTACCTTGGTAGGTAGCAACTGGGGTCTTAAAAGCTCATGAGCAGCCATCTAAGACACAACAATTGGTCTCTTCCTGTCTGGAGCAAAGAAGAGTGAAGAAAACCAAAGACTCAAGGAAACAATTAGTCCAAAGGACTAATGGGCCACATTAACCACGGCCTCCACTAGGCTGAGACCAGAAGAATTGGATGGTGCCCAGCTACCACTACCGACCCCTCTGACTGGGACCACAGTAGTAGGTCATAGACAGAGTGGGAGAGAAATGTAGAACAAAATTCAAACTCATAAATAAGACCAGACTTACTGGTCTGATAGAGACTAGTGGAACCCCCAAGACTATGGCCCTTGGACACCCTTCAAACATGGAACTGAAATCACTCCCAGAGATCACATTATAGCCATACAACAGACAGGCCTATAAAATGAACAGTAACACCAGTGAGGAAATGTACACCTCAGAACAATCAACTATACGAGACCTAATGGGCAGCATTTGCCCGAAAGCAAAATTCAGAAGAATGCTAGAGGCAGGAAAGCTGGGCAAATGGACATGGGGAACCCAGGGAGAAAGGGGCGAGAGTGCTGACACATTCAGGGGTTTGCAACCAATATCACGAAACAAGCTGTGTATAAATTGTTGAAAGGGAAACCAATTTGCTCTGTTAACTTTCACCTAGATAAAAATAAAATGTTAAAAAAAAATAATAATAATAGAATATGATTAAAATAAAATTGTGACTAGCAAAAAAGGGTAGCAAGCAAGGATAGAATAGGAAGAAATTGGTATAAATTGTATAGGAGGCCATTTAGTTTAGATGTTCAGAAAAAACTTTCTGACTATGAAACATCTTAAACCTAAAAATGAATTACCAAAGGAATGTTTTAGAGTCCAGGCTTCAAAGAGATGAAGATGGTGTTAAGTTTACTTAGTACATGGACTAGGGTTCTCTACATACAGACATATAAATACAGATGTTTAACAACAGTCTGTCCCTGGTTCCACCAAGTAGTTGGCGGAGAAACAAAACCACTCAGCATAAACTTGGCACCTCTGGTTGGCCACAGCACCTTAAGTCTGGTTCATGTACCAGAAAAGCAGCACATGCTATTTAGAAGCAGGACCTGATCCCAACCGTGAAACTCTTAAATCCAGCTAAAAGATTTAGGAAATTCAAGCATAGGGTGAACTATATAAATAGGAGAGCAATGAGAAATGGTAGGTCTAGGGGATTCTAGAAAAGATAAATCTTTTTCTGACCATTGTTACCAGGTATGGAAAATTTTAGGAAAAAACACTCAGAGAACACATCTAAGAATGAACAAAAATACGGTAATATAAGAATAGAGGCTGCTTACAGGGAGAGGAAATTGATTTGTATAATTAGATTGGTCCAAAAATTGCCTTGTCTTTATAATATGCCTTCCTGTTAAGGAGATACAGCAGCTTTCGCCAGAAAAAGACAGAAACACTTCCTTTTTAAAAGAACATCTCCAAAAATTGTGTAAGTTTAAGTCACACTTAGATGTACTGGCAAACACAGGACTAACCTCCAAACCTTTTCCTTTTGGCTAGCCTATATACTGGAATAGAGCCATTCTTTCACCAATATTTATTTCTTGCCTTGGCTTCTGTTTTAACTGCTAGTTTTTCTCTCTCTTGTTCTGTAGCTGGGATGAAAGCAGCTCCATTAGCAGTGGACTCAGCGATGCCTCAGACAACCTCAGCTCAGAAGAGTTCAATGCCAGCTCCTCACTCAATTCCCTCCCAACGACTCCCACTGCTTCTCGCAGGAACTCTACAATAGTGGTACGTGAGTTTGCAAATGCCAAGGTCACCATCTCAAGATGAAAGAAAGAACAGACTGGGCAATGCCTGCGTACACACTTGCACATATGCTTACAGACTCCATGGGATCAGT